CACGTCTCGACCCTATTGTCGGCCGTATCGCTGATCACCAGCGAAGACATCAACTCCGAGGCTATCATCTGGTGATCCAAATGAGCGCTAATTCGCGAGTTCTTCAGTCGCGAGGCGTAGACCAGAGTCTGTCTGACAGTCAGCCCATCCATCAGATGATCGCATATATTTTGTCGTATAAAACACGTCCGAAACCTACCGTTCCTCACATAGACTTTCGAATCTTCACTCAATCCACTCATACTCTGTCCGTTCAAACACTTCAATAAAGTAGTCTTTCCCGCACCGGACGGTCCCATCAGAGCATTGAGTGAATTATCATAAAATTTACCGCATACTCTATTCAAAATCACCTTGTTGCTACTAGTTTTATGAAACAATTTGCTCGACACGCTATACGATAATTGATTCCAGCATATTGATATATTTGGTTGACCTAGGTTGATATTATTCATCTTAACGTCCAGAAAATTTATATGCTCTTGGATCATTTCTGCCTTGGTCATATTATGCGTTTGAAAAATGTTTTTACCCCGACACTTATTAAAAACGGTAAAAATAATTTTGCTGACCATGTTATTTGTTTTCACATAAAACACTGTAAATTCAATGACTATTAGGACGGCGTAAACATAAGCAAATCTGGTGGAATACGCATGATACAATTGATCTGGCTCATGATCTAAACCATACTCTATTAGTACCCGGGATGAATCGCCACTACCACTCAATAGGCATCGATTGAAGCCGTATATAATTATCGTAAATGAATTGAATTGGTATTTGTAATGATTATAGTCGGTTAGTGTTTGCACGATTTGTGGCAAGGTAGTTATTTTAATGAATTGATTATTAAGCCAAGTTCCTGAGATAAGCGCTATTAATCCCATGATCGATGTTGCACTAGGTGATTTAACAAGTATCAGTCCGATAATTTCAGTGATGGTTTGATGGCATAAAGTTGTTACTACCATGACGTGTAGTAGCTTGACAATCAGGTGCCACTCGCTTAAGTATAGGCCGTAAAAATTAATTATTATAGTCATTACGAATGCGATTATTAGATTAATTGAGCTGGATACGCATAATCGTGGGATGAAATATGCCACCGGATTGTACCATGCTTTCAAAATGTATAAAAATATTTTATTAATTATAATAAGTGTATGAGTTTTATAGTGGCTATAATATATTATATTTAAATCTTTAAATTTAAAAATTATTCAATATGCAATGTAGACATTGATAAACTAAAAACTCACTATTTTTATATTCTGACCAAAAATTGTTAAAATCTCTCGACAAGGTATTGCATATAAATATGACACTGATAATATAGCAAATAACGGGCACGTAAAATAGGAACAATTGCAATTGTATGATTATAGCTTTCTCCTTTTCAATAGCGAGACAATTAAGTGAACTAGTGTGCTCGGTGGCATTGCGATAAAAGCACCCTGACACTTTATGCGAGTTTTCATTGATACACATGACAAGTATGTAATTAATAGCACTCATTATAGCGATTTGTTTGGCAAATGCTTTCCATTGCGAGACATATGTGTAGTGAAAAAATCTGATGAATAAGTAAAACATATCAACGAAATAGAAATTCTTGTTATTAGTAGTGATTCCGGCGTTCATTGCATTCATATTCTCTGTATTTACTGTCATTTGCTTATTCTTATCGCACAATCCCTTCACATCCCTGTCCTCTCGTCTATTGAAACTTAATTTAATCAACACTTCAATCGGCACTTCATTTTCGCCGACAGTTATGTCGCAATCAATGAGATGTTGTCTCAATTGTTTGGGAACTCCATCGTAAAGACAATGGCCTCCTTTGGCCAACACATAGATGTTGTCAAACATATGAAACAAATCGTTGTTCGGCTGATGGATGCTAACGATGACTGAGATGTCGTGATTACGGGACAGTTGTTTCAGACATTGGATGACCTGATGATAGGAATTGAATAAAAGTAATAAAATATAATAATAACTACTTTTGCGACAAAACACTCACGACTTGTGCCGCATGTGTGTCGAGACCAGTGGTGGGCTCATCGATGAACAGTAGGTATGGTTTGGAAATGGATGTCAACTCGAGTGCAATGCTAATGCGTTTGATTTGACCGCCACTACAGCTCTCTATGCGATTGTCCCGG